CTGACTTGTCAAGCCTTGTCCGAAGCGATTTTGCTCAACAGCTCGCACTCTGGCAACAGCAGAAACCCCTCCCGAGGCGGCGTTTTGTTATCAGGGAGCTTGGGATAGTTCTTCCTTAGAGTGCACACGCTCTGTGCTGGCGTGAAAAGCCTGAAGTGCCCTCAGCCATTTTGGTTGATAGATACATGGTTGAAAGGATGTCGAGACATGCCCTCCGCTTTTGATTCGGAAGTTTCGGGGTTTCGCGGGTAAGCTGCAGCGGTTCTGCTCAATGCACTTCGCCCAGATACCCAGAGTTGGCGACCTTCCCCTCTGCACCTGTGGTCAAACCTGTGCAGGAGCATCATGGCCGAGACTGCGACGGCTCCTACTGAGACTCTTAAGATCAGCGACCCCTCCTCAGTTCAGCGTGTCAAAAGGAGCCCGGGATTCTTTGCACGCCCGTCGTGGCAAGGATGGTACCACCATGCAGATCGCACGCCTCCCCGACATTGATGACAACACCTGGGCAGAGGTGAAGGCCTATGTGGAAGGCCCCGCCCCCGTACCGCGTTCTCGTCTTGCGCAGTGCAGCATGTCATGGGGCCGGCCATCGATCACTCAGCTGCTCTGAGTGCTCCGCTGCTCACCCAGGCAATCCGGAGACTGCAAAGGCCTTGCAAAGCTTTGCCAAAAACCCGGAAGCCATGCGAGGCGCCAATTTCTCGAGTGGCTCCGGACACTGCTACAATGCTACAACATGCTACAGCAGTTTCTGATTGTGAGCATGTCCTTCCAGGCTGGTTGCAGACTCAGGCCATCGCCGAGCTCCTCGGTCCAGTAGATCAGTAGCTCCAGGTCTTTTGAGTGGACATGGACGTAGACCTACGAGTGTTGAGGAGCAGCCTAAGCTTCCGATGGGGCTGTGAGACTACTGGAACCCCTGCCCAGAGCCCAGGCACTACAACACGAAGTTGCCAAGCAGCACTTCAGCGCCCATTCAAGGGAAGAGGGAAGGAGAGCTCGATCCGCGACAGGCTCTCGAACGGCGACGCCCCTGTGGCGGACCGCGTGAAGTCTCTGGAGAAGGACCCTGAGCTGGCCAGACTCTCGGCATCTCGTGGTCCTTCTTGAAGGGCCTCTTAGTTCGGAGGCCCTGAGGCATTTGGCTGTCACGAGGCCAGCGTCTTTGAGGACATCAAGAAGAACGGCATGGAGGCTGCCATGAAGTACTACCAGGAGCACACCCCTTCAAAGGGCCACCATCGACGGGTTTGCAGCCGTGTCCGGCAGTTATGATTCAGTTATGATGTCGTGCCTTCTCTTCCGCTTCGTGCTGTCCGACAAAAATTTTGACGAGGACGAGGAGTTGATGCTCAAAATCAGCCAAAAGATGGGCGGTCTTCCGTCAGAGCTGCAGCCGGTCCTGAAGAAGTTCCCCGCCTTCTTCCGGTGGTCCATGTGTGTGCCAGGTTTCGTGCAGTTCGAATCCATGTGCATGGATGGTCTTGGGTGGGCCCAGGATTGACGAGACCGCGCTGACCCTGCATGAGGCCATGTGTTGGTGTCGACGCAGGGTTAGCACGTAGCCAAAGCACTCAGCTGGGTCGCATGCTGTGCTGCGACACTGCAGAAGTTGCAGAGATTGGCGCTTGTTGCTTTGCTGCGAGCAACTAGGCGGCCAAGAACGGAGATTTGAAGGCTGTTCAGGAGCCAAAGTTGC